TCTTTGGATGCGTTTGGTTTGATTATTCAATTTAAATGTCTATAAAAAGTACATTCTGGCCTGTTTCTAATAAAATTTAAATTTTGTAAAACTGCGTTCCTCGTTTACGTATGAAACAGAAACGTACTTGACATTTATTATTTATGAAATTTTCACATCTCGATTGACCGGTTACACGTGCAGATATAGTGCATATACTATTAAGCTATTTCAACTTTACACTCGGCCCGGAGGAGTAAATATGGATACCAAAATATAAAAAATATATTAAAGAATATTAAATTGTCAACCTTTTTCTGGTTCTGCAGAACCTTATCGTTTGTAATATGTATATTGTATACCAATCGTCTTGTACAATATTGTCATTGAAATTTTATAATTTTCCCGTGTACCATACAACCAAAATAAAATCATTTATTCGTCGTTCAGTATAATATTAGTAAATTATAATAATTATGATTGTTTTTACTTGGCGCAATATAATTCAGGGCTATTAATAAATTTGTGGTGGAGGAGAACCAATAGGACCATAAGAATAATGACTATTATCGTGAGCATTAAATATTGTACTATGAGAACAAAGTTGGCTGAGTTTTTTTATGTGAAAAAAATATTAACCACTTAAATCTTGTGACTGACCAGTTATTGTCAACCCCAAATAGCCAAATTTTTTGGACTAGAACACTAATCGTCTATTTTTGATTAGAAAATTAAATTATAATAACCAAAAAWTATTTATGCTGACTATACAGCATTGAATGCAGTAATTTTATTTTTCAAAAATATTAATTTACATTTTAGACAAATTACTACAATTATTTATGCTATTTATTGAATGCGTGTGTCATAAAAACCTATTGTTTATTTATTTCTGGAGGGATGGGATGATTTGAAGTTCAATCAGTGTTTGGTAAAATATAGATCACWCAATACCATTGTTCGTTCTAAATAATTATTGATTGTTTCTTACTATTATTGTTTTGAAATAAATACATTTTACTTACTAATGTTACTGCTACAGCAATAATAGTATATTAAGTACTTGTTATAAAACACTCTCTATGTATATCGGATGATATTATTATAGGTAGCTAGTAAAATATGTAATCGGTATATATCTATAAACTATAATACACACACAATGTAGGCAAATTAACATTATAAAATTATTGTTTTTATTACCAATGCTCCA